GCAGCGGCCGCGGCCCGGAGATAAGCGCTAGCGCGGCGCGGGGCTCTGCCTGGGCTAGTGGCACCGACTTGGGTATGTTTCTTATGAATATTACACGCGGAGCAGCGTCTGGTCGGGGGGTGAGGTGGGGGTGCTGGGAGCGGGCGGGAGGGGAGGCCGAGGCGGCGGGGGAAGCGCGGGCCGGCGTGGGGGAAGGGGCCGAGGCGAGGGGAGGGACTGGAACGAGAGGGGGAGCTCCGCCGCGGGGAGAGGAGGGCAGCCTCCCCCCAACCCCCAATGCCCTCCCTCTCCTCGTTCCTAGGCGTCACTAAAGTCCAGAAAAATTATGCTAATGAGGACAAAAGGCTCTCACAAAGGGGCTATCTTGCAGGGCTCTATTTCATAGGAATCTGAGAAACCCCATCACCCTCTGCCCTGGTCACTTCCAGTTGGGTGGCGAGGGGTAAGAAAACCAGCAGAGAGTTCCCCAGACTTTGGACAGTTTACCTCACCTGCCAAACCCCATCCAAGAACCTCAAGCCAAGCCTGGGGGGAGGGAGGGCGGGCTAGGATAGGACTTGCTTTCTAGAGAGAAACTTCCTAAGAACCAACTGAGCTGCCTACATTTTTTGATCAGAAATCCTTGAAACCCTGGCAGCCGGCGGGAAATAACCTTGGAAGAGAGATACTTATCCCGGCAGTGAAATGGGACTCTCTGAGCTCAGGTACACACAGGGTGCCTGGAAACTTGGGTCTCCAGCTCTCCTGTGCCCATTTCACTGTACAGACCTGAAACTCACTCCCGGGAAAGACACAAAGCTCTGACGCCAACTGAACCGGCATCTCTGACACACATTTTTCCCTAACTGGCGTGATGCAGGGACTTGGAGCAGGGGAAAGGGCCAGAGAGTAGCTGATAATATTGCCACAACTTTAAGGAGGATGCTTTTGCTCCCTCCGAAAGCCTCCTCAACTCCCAAATTCACAAGTGAACTCTGTCAGGGTGTATGTGTGGCAAAAAGAGAGAAATGGAGCTTTCGTGCAATTCCAAGGTGTCAACGCCGGTCCTTCTAAAAGGAAGGTGTTAAAAATATAAGTAGTATGTTTAAACTGTCAGGGAGTCAAAGTGTCACCTTAGAGCAAAAACAAAGCCAAAGGAAAAGGGAGAAATCAAAAAGCACTTCGGGCTAGGGTGGCCTCATGCATACCAATGGTTTTTGTCATTTATGGCTAGGCAAGATTTATGACTCGGCGCCCCAAAGCTGTAAACAGAGCACAAAACAGCAAACACTTGCTCCTTATGGCATATTGCGGCAGCGCAACTTGAAAGGGGAAGCCGGGCGGCGTAGGAGGCGAGAGGCGGCCGCAAAAATCCGCTCGGCGGCATTTTCTCTTCAAACCGGCGGGCTCGGATGTGGCATTTGAAGAAAGAAGGCGTGGGTCAATAATCAACCCGCACTTTCTCCTCCAAACTGCTGACTCGACTCTCACCGCCTTCTCTGCTAAGCCAGCTGCAGGGAAAGCCGGCTCTCCGTTTGAACCTGCCAGGCGAGGAAACAGCCCTGGCCTAGGAGCTCAGGGCTCGGGGGTGAGGACTGGGGTGCCCAGGGCGGCTACCTTTCCCACCCGGCCAAGGCCAACCATGCCGGGCGAAGAGCCGGGACCTGCCGCCGATCTGCGGGAGCCAACTGGAAGCTGGGGCGGGAGCTCCGACCTGGCCTGCCAGCCTCCGACTAGGTGGCTTCTGGGTGGCGGGTGGCGGCGGATAAACGTGGGGCTCTGACCTCCAGACTGGAGTAGGGCTACTGGCACACAGACTGCCGGGGTTCAGACCTTTCTGAAACCCAAAGGACTGGCTTTTGCAGAAAAGGAAGGGGGGTGATTTTAGAAACAATTTATAACCGCTGACGGTTTTTTTTTTTTTTTTGCCTGATACTGATTTTAAAAAGAAATTACCGCCTATCGATTTCCACCACCAGATATGACCCGCCGCTTCCGCTGTGCCCTTTGTAGGCAAATCTCCCGGCGATTCACCCGGCTCCGCCAAAAACACTGAGATTTTCTTTGCTGAGAGGATCCCTTGGCTCCCCAAATCCCCTGAGTCTCTGTACTCCCTGATCGGTCTCTGGCCCCTGAGGACTTAGAAGAAAACACCTCCTCAGCACCAGAAGAATATGTGGAAGCTGAAGGTGCACTGGTGCCTTCCTGCCCTTCATGGGGGTCTCCTTGTGGACATGTCTGCGAGGGCCGCGGGTGCCTCCGAGGCTGACTGCGCAGCCAGAGAGGAAGGTGAGACATGATTGTTGGCACGAAGAGGCATAATTGTTGAGCACAGAATAGGGAGGAAAAATAAGGGAGGAAATAACCTTGCCGGTGTGGGCAAAGCCGGTATTGTGATGGTAAAAGGGGACTAGCCTGCTTTATAGCTGTAGTTTAGTTGTAATGGAGTGACTTTAGCTCTTTCCTTAGAGGAAAAACCAACTGGTGCTCTATAAATGGGACTATTGGCTTCTTACTGTGCACACTTTTATACAGAAATGGCTCAAGAGTCCATCCTTAGATATTTATTCTGCTTGCTGGCATTGAAACGACAATAAAAAGATGCCTTTAACAAACCTCTATTCCCTCTCTCATTCTTTCTAGTGAAACTATATTATTTATGAGTCTTTAACTGGGTCAAAAATGCACCAGAACTGGGTCATAAATCATATGAAATGCTGACAAGTAATTGAACAGCAATTAAAGCTTACATTTTATTTCCAAGGGGTGTTTTAGAGCACTTGAAATGGCCTCAGTTAAACATGGTTAGCACTGAGGCCGGCATGGGTATTGGGGTGGGGGCTGCACAGAGTGACCCTTCTGTTCTGGAGAAGTAAATCCCATCAAGTGGGGGAAGCCTTATTTGACTTCCCCTCTTCAAGTACAAATAATAATAATAAGGCTTAACCAAAAAAGTCTGGAGGCAAATTTAATTCCTGATTCTCTGTGGCCATTCCCTTTCCTCTGGTCTCAGAGTTCCAAGAGCTGAGGAAAGCGAAGTTTCCAACATCTTTTCAGAGTTCCTATCCTCCCCAAGAGTGCTGAGTCCCCAAAGCCCAATTAGCTCAGGCTTTCCAAGTAATTTAGAAGCACACCATTTAACTCTCATCTGCCTCTGTCCTGGCTATAGTGCCTCGTTTCTGGGGCTCTAAAGTCAGAAATGTCTACCTCTACTTCCTTGGGACTTTCTTCAGCCCAGGACGCTCCAGCCAGTGCTCCAACTCTCCCAGGCCGCTGCTGCAGGGCCAACAGGGGTGAGCATGGGGGAATCCCAGGCCTCAAGCATTCATAAGCCAAAATCAAGGTCTCAATCTTTTTTTCTGTCCTCCTAATGTTAGAATAACCAAGGTTGCAGGCAACCGACCGGCATGCCAGCCCCCACCCCAAACCTCTCCTACTTATGAGCTGTTCTCCACCCCGACCAGGGCAGAGGGTCCTGGGGAAACAATGGCTCATCCTTTGGGTCCCGCTCTTTCTTTCGGTCTGGCTTGTAGGAAAGGGCGTCCTGCAACCCAGCACTGAACAAAGTAGCCCGAAGCATCATCAATAAAATGGCAGCGCAACTACACACTCATTGATTTCCCTCTCCCAGCTGCTTCTGCTGCCCAGGTCATCCCTAACCCTCCATCCCTGCCGGCAAACACACCAACCTAAGGGCAATTCCCCTTATCATCACCCAGCCCCCACTCAGTCCAGGCAGTCCCGGTCAGCAAGCTTAGCGCCGGCCACCTTGGCGGTAGGCGCTTCAGGACCATCCCTCTGCCTGGGGCTCAGCCTCACCGGCTCAAGCCCTGCCCCGCAGCAGTGGACAAAGCCACCGGGGCGCTGGAGGCTACAGCCCCACCTAGTAGCCCCCAGCTGCCCATCACCTTTTTTTTGGTTACATCCCCAACACCTTCTAGGAAATTAAACTCAATCTGAGTCGCTCCCAGGAACCTTTCAAGTGGTTTCAGTTCTAAAGGAGAAACAAAGGAAGAGAGGGACTGAGGGTCCTGTCCATGAACCAGGGTCTCCTCGCCTGACCTTTGTCTCTCATAGCAATAACTCACTCTAGATATGAACAATCAGCGGAAATACCTTAAAATAAATTCCATCCTCCCGGTGTAGCCTCGAGTCCCATCGGCTAGCTCGCCCAGAACTGCTTCATGAGCTTGAAAACTGCAACCCGCTAGGAGAGCGCTCTCCAGAGAAGGGGGAAGGAGAAGGAGGAGGTGGGTGCGTAGGGGTGGGGGGGGGGAAGCTCTCGCTCTGTAGAGAATCTAGAAAACGTAATCACAGGCAAAGCCCGCCTGGGTCTCCGCTCCAAATGCCACAATAATGCGCTGTATTATGTGCTCACGTGGTCATACGTCAACTTAAATCCTTTTATTTGAAATAGGGAATCACTGAAGGAACTAGGTTTCCAAGCAGAACATTTAGATTTGGGGGAGGGGAAATGGGGGACCTTGACCAGGGCAGAAAAGAGTTTTGTCTAGGGCTGTTGGACAAGGGGGCATCTCCCTACCCCCTCCCCTGCCAACACGTGCCATGCCAGGCCACTTATCTTTGCTTATATTTCTTTACACACACTTCAAACACAAAGGAACAGCAATATTGTCCTTATTCTCAATGCTCATATAACTTTCCTTATAGTATTCTGCTTGGGGACAAGCTGAACCCATAATACACAGCACTCCAGTCTTCTGTGGCCTGCTGACTGGAACATGGGAAGACAAGACTCAGGCCCTGTTTCCAGAAGAAAACCCAGTAATGACTGGACTAGTCAGTGGACTCCCTCACAGTCTGCCATTGTATGGATTTGCTAACACCCACGCAATACACCACAGCCACTGGATAAACCCAAAAGACACATAATTACCTGACAAAGGCTAAAGCACGTCCTCCTCCAAGTCCAACTGGTTTTGTTCCTTGGGAGGCCCCTTAGGAAAGAGATGGAGGGTCAGGGTTTTTGCAAAATCTGAAAGGATCCAGTTCCCTGGCCAAACCTGCACTTACGCGTTTCTTCAGTGCATAGCTGAGTGATACATGAAATTAAAGGCTTCTGACACTGAATGTGCTTCTAACAGTGGAAAATGTAAAGGGAAATGATATTGTTTCTGCAAAAGGGGGGGGGGGACAATACTTGAGGGCATCCCCTGAATTAATCCACAAGACAGCCTGGAACTCTACAGACAGGGCTGCTCACCCTCCCCAAAGACAACTCTGTGTTCGCTAGCAAACTGAACTGGACCACATCTATTCAGGAGGAAACAGGCTGGAACAAGTAAGTTCCCCCACTCCCACCTTCGCATTCTGCTTGGCGACAATGTCCACTGACTTCAGCACTTCTCCTCTCATGATCTGATTAAAAAGCTCCTCTTTTCCATTTTTACTTTCTGAACTTTGGGAGTACTCTGCAGTGGTAAAATCCTCATGCCAAATTCTTTTGTTCCTTGAGAGTAGATCTTTAGTTGGCTAGGTCTAACTGTGAGGACTCACTTGTAGCAGCTACAGGAGGCTGTGCGTGATTCTTGCTATCCTCTCCTCCCCTGCAGGGGAACAGAAGGGGCCTGGTGAGAATGTAAGGCCCTCAGTAAGGGGTCCTGGTCATGGGGGTATCCAAATCAGATGGGCAATAAAAGAGAAGGAGAACTAATCCCTTGGAAGTGATCCCTGGCTTAAGCTGGTGGCAATATTCCAGCTGGGAGAAAATCTCTATGTGAACTTTTCCAGCTCACAAACTAGAAAGCTGGAAAAGTAATAGTCTAAAAGTAAAGTAAAAACCTGCTTCTCTCAGGTTTGAGGGATAGACAACAGGACCAAAGGCTGATTTCCAAAAAGCACTTTCTATCTCCCAAGATCTCAGGTCACTAATACACTATCCTACCCTTCCAATATTTCACTATAAACTCTCCAAGTAGACTAGAAAGGAGCTAACGGTATTGCCAATCTTTTTGAAAACTCCCCTCCCCCCCCCCACAACAAAGTTTCCTCAGAGACTTCAACTCAAAGATGAGAAGAGGCCTTCTTCAGAACTCTCAGAACAGTCTGGAGCTAACCAAAAACTCCCAAGGCCATAAATCAGTGGGAAAAGTCATTGGTACCCTTCAGAAAAATGCCTTAACGCCAGCAAAGCCCAGTGGCAGGCAGCTCAATCCAGCAAAGGAAACTCCACACTATTATTAACAGCACAGTTAATGCTCCAACTGCTGTTTAACAATTAACATTAGGACTTGGGGTGGAATGTTGTGATTTGGTGGGATGAAAAGAGGGAAATTCTGAGGAGGTTAAAGGAAATTTAACTTAGGAGGTGGCTTCCCTAAGAGAGACTAAGATCTGGGTAAGTCCTGGGGAACGGGGCAACTGGGCAACTGAGTCTTCCTTTACCACTCTGAAGTCCCCTTTCCTGGAACCAAGCTCTAGGCCTTTTAAAGTTCAGTTCCAAAGGAAGCTTAGAGGTGCTCAAGTATCTAGGCCCAAGTTGGGAAATCTAGTGGCTAATCCCCCTCCACTCACTTCTCCTGGCTAGGGCTAAGGACACAAGCCCTTGGGTTCAGACCACCAGAACAAAAGTAGGCAGAAAGTTGTCTTAGAAGGAACAGGTAACCATGGATAGAGCTTTAGTCAATATTTGCAAGGCTGTTGGCTGATTAGATATATCTGTATTCAAACACTGCAATCTGATTTCTCTGTCAAAAATACACTTAACATTTTTCTCTCTTTAGTTAACTCTAGTGGTTTTTCTGCTCAGTGTCAGGTAATGCTCTTTTCCCACTTTTTTTTTTTCTGGTGAAGGTTATAGATTATTATTTAACATGACATATTTCCTGTGGGTGCAATTGCAGTACAAATGGACTCCAAGCTCTCTGGACACATATGGATGTGTATATCATTTTATATACATTGTCTCAAACTCCTGTAACTATTTATACAAGTGATGATTCTGATGCCTGCAGAGATGCAGGTCATATGGACACACTGAGTTGCAATTTCCTGAAATGTCCCTTCTATATTTGACATAGATATACAGTAGCTAAGAAAGTAACCCACCTAGCTTTGATATTACTATTCACTTCCTTTCTGATAGAAAAACAATTGTATTTAGAATACCATGCCTGCTTTAGAGCATCCAAGAGTGGTATTTTGCATTTAATTAACAAACTGATATCTATCTGGGGAACAAATTTTAGGAAAGACTGAGAACTAGGAAATAGAAAACAAAACATCAGGAAACTTTTTAAAATATCATTCCTGAAAGAACAAAGCAAACCAATTCCTTTATACCAGGCTTCTGAACGCTATCCCAACAGCCCCTCCCCCAAATAGGCACGAAATTTATGGATCTTTTACAAGGTAATAAACCACAGTAATTACCTCCCTGCATCCCAAAGTAAAAGAACAAATTAAGCCAGAACTTAAAAAAAAAATTAAAGAGTTTTCCCTTGTTCCAAATAGGAGAAGAAAACGCGGAGACAGAAAACCAGTCCTCTTCCCATGGAAACAACAGCAATCAGCCTGCCTAGAGGAACGAGAAGACCCGCTGCCTGCGAAGGCCTACATATCTGAAATACAGCAACTTCCCTCAAGAGAAAGAAAGGCAAAAGGGTAGAAGGAACTGCAAAGCGGTGAGACAGGTTTCCTGAATGCGGAGGTGGGACTGATGACAATTTCCGAACTCACAGTCTCTCCACAGCCTCTGCAAACAGTCCTCAAGGAGAGCAGCCCACGCCGCTGCTGCTTTGCCCGTGGCCTCTACTTGTGTTCTGTTCTCCAGATAAATCTGGTTCCGTGTAGTGGCTTGTTTGGGGGTTTGCCGCTAGAAACAAACACACCCCTCTGAGCCACCCCCATTCGAGCACACACATCTTTAGTCTCTGCAGACGCCCCTCCTGCACAACGCAGCTTTGGGGGCAGACTCTTTGTCCGCTTGAAGCCCGGCATTCTCGCAGCTTGCAACTGAAGAGAACCCAGCTCCAAAAACTCCTCTGAAGTTAAATATTGACCAGAACCTCTTTCAACCGGCTGTTGCTGCCAGGGAGCGTAAACTCCACGCAGAGGCCAGGTGCTAAGCCCTGTGCGGCAGAGTGCTTTGGCATAGCGCTTACCTCCAAAGATGTTTAAGAAGGACCGGGGGGATAGTCTCCAACTCCCAGTGCTCAGGAAATCGCCTTTTCCGGTGTCCAGGCGCTCTGTGGACCAAAAAAAAAAAAAAAAAATGCAGAGCAGAGAGTGAACGAACAGTGGCTGCTAAGGAAGAGAGCTGGAGGACCAGAGTTGGATGCGCCCAGGGTGAGGGAGCCAGGGTGGCCCCCAGGGTGACGCGGACACGGAGGAGTCGCCAGAGCACTCGTCCATGCATTGCACTCATTGCTCAAAAGGTTCCAGTCTACAAATGGCCTGAAGATGGTGATTTATTTTTGTAAAATAAATACATACTCCATCTCCGCACCCACATTCTCCATTTTCTTGCTTTTTATGGGGGGAGGGGAGAAGAAGAAAATGAAGGAGGCAGAGAAAGCTAGAAAAGCAGAAGAGGTTTTGCTAGTGGTGCCTGCTCTGCTCAGAGAACTCCTCAGCACCTCAACTCAGGGAATGTGAATGCATGCTTTATTTTCTTTTGCAAACAAAGGGAAGCCTTGTCTGGGAGCATTCAATCACAGACTCTCCTGAAACCTCACTAGTAGAGTTCATTTCTGTTGGCTCAATGGCACGAAATCAGACCCAGACTAAGTCCATAAGCAGTGGGCAGTCTTGAGAGGTTTTATCTTCAGAGTTAATTCAAGCCTTGGGCGCATCACCTCTGTCCCAGTGGGCTGGTGGGACAATGGCAGCATCCACTCTCCACAGAGCAGGCCAACTCTGACTACTAGAAATAGAGGAAATTGGGAAGGAGACAGGCAGGCCTGGGACAATACAGGATCAGGGGTCTTACCCAGCACCACCTTGCCCAGCAGCTAGATATTCATTCCAAGCCCTAATTCTGCTGGCACCATACCCCACCCACAATATTTACAACTCTCTTGCCCTCTAGCAAATGGACATGCAGCCATCAGCTAACTTTGGAGAGGGTGGTTAGGGGATAAGGAAGACTGCAAAAAGGGGTAAAGTATCCTCTACCACACTGGGCCTTCCCTGCCTTGCATAAGTTCTCCCCTAGGCTGGGACTGCCAGGTGGGTTGCTTCCACAGCCCTATACCACTACCCTTCACCCCAGCCTGAGTAACCTCCCCAGACTCCAGCCTGCCTCAACAAGCCCTGGATGGCTCTCATGCTTCTGTGCAATGTTGCTGAAAGCATCAAGAAAGGCTACCAAATGGCTGATAAGTCCCCTGATCTCAGGACTCCAGGGCGCCCTCGCACACTGAACAAGTGGCTGCAACCCCTCTCTGCCCTCTGGGACCACTTCTATCTCCATCCAGCACTTGGGAATCCATGCTGGGCCCCCTTCTCCTGTACATATCGACCGACCCCCTGTGTTTCCACAGGGAGTGTTGCCCTGGCCTAGGGACTCCAGGCCTGACCCTGAGCAAGGTGGGGCTTAGCTACTCTGTAAGTTGCCACTCAGCTTTGCCTCTGAAATCTCTGCTATGTACCAAACACTACTACCACCATCAGCACCCTTCTCCCCACAAGCACATGCAAGGCTTGGGAGTAATTATTATGGTTATTATTGTTGTTGCTACTTCCTTATCCCCAATTCAAATATTCATGGCTGCTATTCCCTATAAATCCTTCAGACTAATGAGTCACAAAGAGATGTTGCCCAGGTCTCTCCCTGTACAATGGCTGCCACCGTTGCTGTGGCCTTTTTCTCTCCGCGGTTTTTGGCGCTCGCTTGCTCACTCGCTCACCCTGCTCTCCGGTGATTTATGAACACCGGGAAAATTGAACAAAGCCGCGCGCCCATCCTGTGGTATCTTGCAGTCTTCCCCAGTGTGAATCAGAACATTACCAACTGTCTGCGCATCCGTCCCACTTCATCACCAAAATCAGAATGTGACCGCAGAAAACCCCGAGCCCGAACTCACGTTTTGCCCAGCCACAGCAAGCTCCCAGGACTCAGGAAATGCAGGAAAAAAGCCCCAAGGCCAGAGTGGGCCAACCACCTCGGATCTCTCCTTGCTGAAGGGCTGTCTCCTGCCCTCCTGAAGGAGTTAAAATCCTTTGGCGATAAATATGAGTGTATGTGCTTTTTAAAAGTCAAATAAGAGTTGGGGTCTCACTTCTGAGAGATTCATTCCTAGTGAGGTCCTGAAGACTCCAATCCATTCCTGATGATCCGCATTAATTATTTAATGAGTCACGTGACCTCAAAGATTGCAATTTCAATATCTCCCTCCAACAGGCACTACACCTTTATCTACTGCAACCAGGGTCCTCATTTGGCTTTTTTAGTTCCCAGCATTAGGGGATAAAGCCCTTTCCCAGCTACCAAACAAGTGACAGCCAGCAAAATCTCTGGGACAGCATAGTAGAATTAGGCCTTCTGGGACTTTGAGTACTGTGGACAGGGAAAGCCCACCACTCTCCCACTCTCCCAGGTACCCTGACTTCCTGGTGCTCATAAACCCAGAGGGCAGCCCACCTGTCTCAATGTTCTGGCTAGGCTCTCTGGTTACATAACCCCCTAGGGCTGATGTGATGGCACAGCAGGCAAGAACTTAACCATCTTCCCCTGCTACCAGACACCTGTGGCCTCCCCACCAAGCTATACCCAAAGGCATATGTCCATTCCAGTCAAATAAACTCCAGAATGAGTCCAAGGGCTGTATTCAAGAACATATCCCATCAACATAAAGAACGTTTGGGAGGGAGTTGTCATCCAACTGCCTCAGTTTCCTCATCTGTAACCTGAAAAGATTAAGCCAAAATGGCCTCCAGATCTCTTTAGCCTTGGACATTCTTCCCATCAAGGAATCACTTTTAGCCCCAAGAATCAATCTCTGAAAGAGTGGGGCAGGACTGAAAGGGAAGAAGTGGTGTTCTATGAATTTGGAGCCTTGAGAAAAAAGTGATGCCTGAAACTTCCAAGAGAGATGTTTCAGGCTAGAATGTTTCACAACAATCCCAGTAGCCATCCTACTACTGTCCAGTAGACAGAATATACATTTCTTCCTCTTCTCTCTTTCCCAAACCAGATTATTTGAGAGACAAAATAGTTATTCTTGTGCTACTATACAATATAGAGAATGGGGCAACAGAAGCAAACATTGGGAAAGGTGAACTCTTCTATACAGAACTACAGGGAGGGGTGCAGAGACCAAGGAAATACAAGAAAACAGGCCTATTGCCCATACAGAATGCATCCATCAGTCGGAAAGTCCCTGGTTCCTGTTGGCTACATTGATTCTTGGGGGGTTTTCTTTCCTCCCATTCTAAAGCATCATTGATCTGTCTCTACATTGAAACTGCTAGAGGGAAGGCAGTGATGAGATGAGCAGCACAGTTTGGAAGCTTAAGGGAGCAGGGGATGTAGGGGTAGTATACCCACCCCTTGATGTGGGGGAATGTGAGCCCCCTGGAACAGCTGGGTATAAAGTTAGTGCCAGTGTGCAGAGGACCCACCCCCCATATATCTAGGTAATCTTCCCTTGAGTTCCATCCTGGGTATTAAGTACTCTATATGCCTGTCACAGTTGAATTCCTGCTGTAATAAAACACCGGGTATATCGTAGATTTCAGCAAAACTAGGAAAGAGAGGTTGCAAAGTGCCATTTTTCTTCAGGGGGGAGAGTGTTAAGTACTTAATTCAAACTGTGACCATTAAAGTGTCTCCTATCCGATTTAGTTTGATTTCAGATGTTGACAAAACTTTTATCTCTAGAGTCATACACAGCTTGGCTGTAGAACTAAAGCAAATGAGTATGTGTTAGAAGGAAGTAGAAAGAGAAAGAACAGGAGCGCATGTGTAAGAGTCAACTTGGTAGGAGAACTATATAGATCTTACACAAAATACTGTCTTTAAAGGTCAAGGGTTTGAGGGGCCAGTAGGGTTCGCTTTAAAAAAAAAAATTAATGAGATAGAAAATTTGTCCTCTGGATGAACTCTTATGGTTGCCCTAGCAAAGAGCAGACAATGCATGATTTTGAAGCACAAAGTGGGATTTTCTAAGCTGTTATAACAAATCTCCTTAAAGTCCAAACCTGAAACAAGCAAAACACCGAAGAGATGACATAATCATTTGAGTCATTTTGCATCGTTTTGGCTTTATGAACTTACCAACACTTTAATAATCAAGACAGGTTGAAAAAAAATGCCGTTTTGTCCTGGTATATTAGAAAAAACTACAGTCTCTCTTCCTTTCCTGGAGACTATAAAAGTGAAAGAAAATTACCCCTTTCACTCTTGATACAACTGCCTCCAGTATGAAGTTAATGAATGTCCTACTCCCTCCTTCCCTACAAAGGAGAAATATAAGAATTTACCTTAAATGATGATAATCTGCCATTTGAGGTTTTGCAGCTCGACACTCAATTTCCACCGAGAGAGTCTAGGCATTTTTTGAGCAGACAGCCAAGATGCTGCGTCTTTGCCCGAGACCACATTATTTGCAAGAAGATCCCTCGATTCTCCACAGACTTTTCCCAGAGAATGCCTTTCAGAATTGCTGTTGAATTACAAAGAAGTATTTATTGCATGAGGTGATTAATGATTCCTGGGAAAATTGCTATTTTCAGCATGATTTAATTTCGTTTTACAAGTGCGTGTAGTAGGAGTAGGGTTAATAAGTCTCAGCAGAAGTTACAATGCTTCCAGAAATCCCTGGCAGCCATTCATACCTTGCAAAATGTACCTTATGCCAAGTTTGCCCTGACTTGGGAAGACGTGGTTTTTTTGCCTCTGAACTTTCTGGGGGGCCCCTCAGAGACAGGTGTCAATCACTTTCCTCTTAGAACTGGTTTGTTCCTAGGTAGAGAACTGACCACCCTTGCCTGCAGAGGCAAAAAGGATAACAGCATTGACCACTGACTAAGGGTTTGCTACTGATGGGAAAAATGTGTTTAAAGATCCTCTGACATTGCAGAGGCAGGTGAGAAGCCTCTCCCATCTCTGCTAAAGTCATTCTATGAACTGAAAACTGAACTAATTTAGAGCTAGGTGACAGCTCTAATATTCTGAAGCTGATGTGCACTGATTTTCTATATCTCCTTGCAGAGTACTAAGTGACAACCAAGTTTAAATCCTCTTTACTGATTTGTTAATCAGTAAACAAATACCAGGGTTGTGGAGATTGAGAAATGGTTTTGACTTTCAATCTTTTTTTATTCTAGGTCTCTCTCTGGAGCAGGAAGATCTGAGAACATTTGAACAAAAGTGGTCCTCCTTCAGAGTTTGACTTTCCTCCAGCAGCACATACTCCCAGCTCTACCTGTCTTAGGGTACATTTTGGAGTGTTATTATGTTTTTCCTTTTCTTTGGAGAGTGAACAGAATATCTTGCCTCTTTTTCAAAAAGGAAGAAAGACAGAAGGAAGGGAACAAACAGGCAAACAAATGAAACTTCCCAAGCTGTAGCTAGTGAAGAGGACCTTACAAATAGCCAAGAAATGAAAAAGCAATCTCAACTCTGCAAAAACTATTTTTTATCTCCAGGGAAACAGGCAGATTAAGTGTGAAGGTGCAATAAATACCAAAGGGACCATTTCTTTCCAAGTGTGCTCAGAGTTCAGCATGTAGAACAGCTGCAGAAACTCCTGGGCCCACAGCACCGCAGGGTTTCACCTTTCATTGCAGAGAAGGACACGTTTCTATGCCTTACAGAGACTTGAAGCCTGAAAGCCTGGCCAAGTTTGGGAAGAAGAAGAGCTCTCTCAGAGCTCAAGAGTCTTCCTGCTCCTTGGAACTTTTCCCACAGTAGGTCAAACTTGACAAGAGTTCAGCTGAAGTTGAACACACTCACACAAATTATGTGAGCAAGCAGAATCTAAGTCAACTCAGGAACACAACTCAAGCCTTCATCTACAAGATTTTTATATGCAAGTTCAAGCACCTCAATCCAGAGAACTTTTTTTTTAATTAAAAGTAGAAAACACACAAATGTGTCTTAGAACTTTAATGCTTTTTGAAACAGACTTTATTCTTAGCACATGGCTTTCTATATAGCCACACCACAATTTTTACAGTCACACATGGCACTAAATGCACTCCCTTCTCCCCGGAGATTGTGCCTCAGAGTAAGACAGTATCTCTACAATAATATTTTAAGTAAATGCAAGAAAAGAAAACTAATGTGTCACATCTACTATCAAGGTCTATACATTTTGAGAATTAAATAATCTTGTGAGGTCCATGTCTACCCATTTATTCAGTTCAATACAAGCTTGTATGAGCTGCCTTAATGGGGGAAAGGGAGTGGTAAGAAAGGTGGGGGAAGGGTTTTTCTTCTGCTTGCCACAAATATATATGTACATGTCCCCAGTCAGCCCGGGTTGCCTGTGGACTTTAGCCATCTCAAAAATATTATTGATGCCAAGCAGTCCTTCTCAGGTACCCAAACCTGGAAGTCTTGTTCAGATCAGCAGCTTGTTCCACCAGCCAGCATCCTGGCCAATGTCCTCTCTTGGGTGGCAACCAGCACACACTCTTACCAGGATAATGCCTTCTTTTTATTATCCTTTAAACCAACTTAAGTTTTGCTTTGGGGTCTGTTATGGTCCAAGAGGAGGCGTAGGTGAGGAAAGGGGCAGGAGAAGAGAGGAGAAAAACAGGTGAGGGAAAGAACTGCTCTAGAGCTCAGATTATATGGAGGAGGGAATGGGTGTGGAGGCCCCGGGGTGGGGGTGGGGATGAGCGTGCGGGCTCTGAGTTTGTGCTTTCCCTGGTGGGCCTGCAGAGGTCGAGGCGGAGTTGGAGGATCGCATCTTAGTGTTGGGCAGTTTGTGGTCTTTCTTCCACTTCATCCTTCGGTTCTGAAACCAGATCTTGACCTGGCGCTCAGACAAGCAGAGCGTGTGGGCGATCTCGATGCGGCGCCGCCGGGTCAGGTAGCGGTTAAAATGAAACTCCTTCTCCAGCTCCAAAACCTGCTGCCGGGTGTAGGCGGTTCGAGAGCGCTTGGGCTCCCCTCCGTTATAACTGGGGTTGACTGTTCGGCCCGGCCCGTAACCCCGAAGGAGAAAGCCAAGGAGGAGGGAGTGGAAGAGAGGGAAAGGAGGAGGAGAGAGAAGGTGGGGTGGGGAAGAGCAATTGGACATCATCATTATATAATAACCTGACACCAAGTTCACGCAAGATACATAAAACGGCAAAGAAAATGTTTCACAGGCTATTGACAACGGGAAACACCCGAGAGCCATAAAGAATGGTGCTGGGCATTGGGGCTGAAGAAAAGCTTCAAAGACACATGGCCTGAAGCCTCTGCCAGGGCAATTAAATTTATGGGGGCTATAATTACTGCCCTAACAGTTTGGCGTCTCGTAAATCTCCCGATAAAGGGACCCGGGGTACAAAAGGCTTCTCACGTTGGGGTCAGGCGGCTGGCTGGCGTGCACACATCCACATCCCACTGTAGCCTGGGCCAGTTGGGGGCTCCCCTCCCGAGGTCCCCTACCCTCTGAACACCCGCCCCAAGCTCGAACCCTGGTCTGGTCCCAACCCTCCCTCCCGCGCCTCCCCAGCGGCGCCACGTACCGGCGCTGACATGGATCTTCTTCATCCAGGGATACACCACCGGCTCCTTGCCCTTCAGGCCGGGCGAGCTCTTGTCCGCCAGGAGCAGCGGGCACGCGGGGGCGCTGCCCCCTGCCGGGACTCCCGGGGTGGAGGGGGCAGCCTCGCAGCGCAGCGGGGGCGCAGGGGGTGCCGCGCGATGCTGAGGGGGAGGCGGCGGCGGGGGCTGCCTCCCGGGCGGCGGGACGTGGCTCGCGTGCAGGCCATGCGCGGGACCCTTGGCGTGCGCCGGGGGCTGATCGGGCAGCGGTGGCCGCCCGGGGCTGGAGCCGCCGCGGTAGCCATAGGGGTAGGCGGCTTCGGCGGCACCGTGAGCGGGGTAAAGCGCGGCCGCCGGGTAAGAGGGCTCTCGAGCCGCCCGTGGGGTGTAGTAGGAGGCGGGGGGTTCGCGGTTGCCACCCGCAAGGGGAAGCTGGGGCTGCTGCGGAGGCAGGTGCTGGGCTGCGGGAGCTGGGGGCTGCTGGTAGCCGGGGCCCCCGCCTGGGCCGCCGTCTCCGCCGCCAGGGCCGCTGTGCTGCGCGTACTCCTCGAAGGGAGGGAACTTGGGCTCGATGTAGTTGGAGTTTATCAAAAACGAGCTCATGGTCATTAATTTGTGAAGTGCAAAAATACTAATTTTTCTCGCGTTGTCGTTTTTCTGGGCTCGCCGAGGCCCCTCCCCCTCCTGCTTTGCGTCCCATCCCCCCTTTCTCCGCTCCCTTCCCCTCCCCCCGCTGTCAAGCGTCCACCCCTCCCCCTCCCGCTGCCGCCAACGCCACCAAAGTTCGAGTCGCTCCACCCCCGCCCGCCCGCTCTCGCGCGCGCGTTCCATCTCGGTGCCGCGCGCGCCCCGCCCAGTACTTCACGTGACCCTTCCCTGCCAATGGAAGTGCTGCGCGCGCGGACCCGGATCAGGAAGCGCGCGGGTGGGTGATGGATGCTACTGTCCGGCCCTGAGGGAGGGAGCCTGCGCTTTAACCCTCCCTCCCCCCAACTTTGAAGCCTGTTGGGAATTCGGGGTTCGCTAGACGTGTGGTCTTCTCAGGCACCCAGAACGGGTTTTACTCGTGCCCTACTAATGGCCTAGGTTTTGGGGCGGCCGCGGCCCAGCACTGACCTCGGACTGAGCCTAGCTTGGCCTCCCGTCTTTCCGGGGTTCGAGGCCCGCTGGGGTAGGAACTAGTGTCCGGACTGAGAGGGTAGCCAGGACCGGAGAATAAAACCAGTGAAGCCAGCAGACCTGTGTTCTCGCCAGTTGAACCACTTCCCACACAATATTTGACATGTCTGCTGGAAGAGCCCCTGTTCTGAGATGTCAGGCAGGAGCCGAAAAAGGGTGGGTGGGTGGGTAAGCGTCTGAAGGAAAAATGGGACCCAAAGATGTAAGCATTCGAATATAACCAAATGGGCGGGCACTTTTCGGTTTTTCTTTTAGACACAGAATCTACTTTTTTTCCCCCTAAGAAAAATAATCTTCTAGGCTTTATTATGTGATGGAGGTGTCAATGTGAGGATCTAAACATGCACACATTTACTAGGTGTGATTGTGAGAAGTGGCCTAAGGATGGAAATGAAGAGAAGCTATGCGTGGACAAAACTGAGCTTTGAAATCAACAACTTCCTATTTCAAAACAATCTGAACACAAACAAGCTAGGATAGAATAGGCACTGTACCCAGTCTGATCACCAATGGGCCTTTCTTTTCCGTCCCCACCCCCAAGGAATTTATATATTTTGTCTTTTGGATACTGCCTTCTCAAGCTGTGTCTATGGCTAAAGTTATATTTACAGAAGTCTATAATTTCTGAATTGCTGAAAATTAGCATATTAACAATATCAGTAGCTCTGGAAAAGGGGAGAAAGGACTACTGTTGCCTGCCATTTGGTAATTGAAATTTGATGGGTAAACTAATTATGCCATTATTAACAAATAAATTACTTATTAATTCCACCCAGTGTTGATCTTTGAAGTAAATACTACTGTTTTACTGGTAATATGCACTTTCCCTTTCCCTTTGTAAGTAACAGAACACACCTAGGTCCTTCACTTTTCAGGCTAGGTTAAAACAGTGCAAGCTAGCATAGTCACCATTCTAAAAATACTTTCATATTGGCATGCAAATCAAGGATTTTTCAGCTGGTACACCTTAGTTGATTTTTCAAAGAGTAGTATAAACAGCCTCTCACAACTGAGTCTGGACCTCAGACAAGGAAAATTACAGCCTAAGCCTGGAGACACTTCAAAAGGAATGTCAATTCTATCTTCATTTATATTGGTTACTCATATGAGTTACTAAATGCTGGAATATATCCATTTGATGGATAGTCATTTAATGCTTAGCCACATAAAGCCTATTATATGGGACTAATCTTTAAACTAATTTAGGAATAGAGGTTAAAAAAGGGATCAAGTTAGCCTTCTAACTGAAATTGCCCTAAAGTGGTACAAAGAAGTTTTCTACATTGGATGTCAGTGCTGTCTTTCGATATAAGGCACCCTGCAAAAAATTTTTTTGATGAAATCTGAGCCAGACAAATCAACATTGAGTCTAATCTTTAGACATCCTCTCTGGACTCAGGGAAAAAATCTAGCCCGTGATGCAGATGTCTAAACCAATCTCTCTAAGAAGAAAAATTAATATGTGCACGTTATGTACTATATAGCATGAATAATATATGCATACATCATATAATTTACAAAGCCGGAATCTATAAGCTTCAGAGAGAAAAAACACAAGGAAAATTTGCCTTCTTCCTCATATATTGAGCCTGAGTACCAGGATTTTAACCATGTCTGTTTAATATTTTACAGACACTAAAACACAAAATTCAAAATTCATTAACCTCAGAACCTCCTGAATTTTTATTTTAAAGTGCTAACGAGACACGGCACTGTTTTGTGTATGGTTAACCTAAACGAGAGTTAACTGTGCCTGTGTTACATGTGGTTCTATTACTTTAGGAAGATGGGCTTACACAGAATCACCCAAGGCCTGTAACTTGTCTTTGTGGTCCGTATCATAAACACAAACGGAGCCAGGACCACCAAGTGTTATCTCACACACCGACATTTTGACGTTTTACTGCAAGATTTATGGCTGCAATAAACAATCTCAGTACCTTTTCTGATCCTTCCACAATCTCTCTTTGCAAGCCATAGCATCATTCCATTGAATCAAATAATCTTTTGAAAACATTTTTTTAAAAACACATATGCCACACACACACACACACACACACACACACACACACACAGGCTCTTGCCTTTTCATGAGATCCAAGACACCAAAGTAAAACCAGAAAGACACTAACTCAATTAATAAATAAACTGAAGTTTACCAGCAGCATCTTGCCAGAGAAAAGATGGGATGCCCTGAAATGGAGCAGAGAGGGAGCGTGCTAATCTTCGCACACCAACTGGCTCTAGTCCCAAGCAGGGTGAAAATGTTATCCTTTTCTTGGGAAACTGGTAAGTACATTTGCCATCTCCACGTGGAGGGATAACATATATTCCCAACAAAAGCTTTCTTAAAATCCCATTAAGTGAGATAACTTTTCATCAAGTCCTCGAATCCCAGATGGAGAAGGAGAGTGAACGGAGTCCGAGGGAGAGGGAGGGAAAGGGGAGGTAGTGTTTGCTGCCTAGTTTGAATCTGATTTGAATCATTTTGAATATATTTGGAACAGCCTTCACTCTTGAATGCAACCCTGTCCCAAGTTTCAAAGTGACCGAACAGTGACACCGTGTGCATTTTGTTTCTTATTAATCTTACACATTGACAGTCTTTGTTAAATCACAAGGCGCGCCCTTCACCAGCCGACATTTTCATATTTGTTAGACGCGCTGACCTGAAGTTCACCTCGGCCTTGGACTTTGCGCTTCTGAAAGGTCTATACAGTGTCTTTTAGAGAGCAGGGTGCTTTGCCCAGGTCACTCCTTCTCAGGAAAAACCAAGGGATTGGGGGGGGGGGGAAGCAAAGGAAATGTAAACGTTATGGAATGTATTGACTGTATTTGTCCTTTGTTCTTTAGAACGAGAGTCCCCAGACTGACTATTCTCTATCTGAAGCACGTCTCTGAGCTTAAGCGGGAATGGCTGAATTTCAGAATGCTAATGGTGGCTTTTGAGGGTTTCACCACACCTACAATTGAATATGATTCTAGAGAAGTGAAATTTTATCAGCTATTTGACCAAGTAATGTTTGGGGGTAATTCCCTTGCAGCAATTTGTAAAAATGAACATGACCCAGGCATAATGATTGATATTTGGCTTATATATGAATTTAAACAGAATTGTTTGAGAGGCCTAAAGATTGAGATCCTCCAAATAAAAAAGTAAGCACTATAGAAGCAATATCTTCAGTGGGTATTTTATTCCCCTTACTTTAAAAACTAGCGAAGAGGTTTCTACAATTATCAAAGCGGATGTGTTTCTAAGGTCGTGGCACATGTTTTAGCCAACAATACAATAACAGGGTTTTCTCTCAAAGGGACACATAATTATCTTTGTGAGTAATAGAAGGGGTTTCAGGTTTTTTTCATTTCACCAGCCCAGATGTGGTGAAGTGTTCACTGCTGTAACAGCAATCACCACAGTTGTTCCCTTTCTTATGTTTTCATCTGGCACACCCCCATTTGGCTTCAAGCTCTTGGCCAGAGTGAAAACTTTACACATTGCACAGTGGAAGCAATCTGATATTTCCATGAAGGCAGTGTTTGGGAAATATTTACTTTACCACTGGATGTACCTGGCACCAATAAATCTAGCCAACGGGAATATATTGGGATAATCTTAAACATCCCTGCAAGAATCTACATTCTGAATAGTTGAATTAGCTTATCTCCAAAGGTAAAAAAAAAAAAAAAAGCCCAGAAAAAATTTCCATCTCCCTTCTCAATTTTCCTACACTGATTACTTAAAGATCAATACACAGAAAAGGGAAATAAGCCCCCAGAAAATAGATACTGATGGCACAACTTACAGTTGATAAAGGCACATGAAAAAGAATAGATTTAGTTCTGCAGTTGCAACTCACATATGAGGCATGATTCCAGTCGGCTTCCTTAATACACTATTCCCTTTCTTTTCTATTCACCCACCCTTCCTCCAAAGCTTGCTTCCCCTCTCTTTAGGTTTTATTCCAAGTATGTTTTTTTGAAAGAGCACTTTCTGGAGGGCAGAAGTCTGTCATAGTGGTTTTAAAAAGTGGACTGGCATTTGTGCCACCTTCCTGCTCAAATGCCATACTCTCTACAGTTTACTTATGCACTGTTAGGTTGTAGTATTTCCCCAACATTCAATTTGGGCTAAAACGTAAACATAAGGAGAAATTTCCAACCAGAACATCTTCTTGGTACCAGTAAGCATCTTCTCCCTGGTGAAGGAGTCCTGTTTCTTTCGGGAAGGTTTCTACTTCCTTCCCTCCGTTTCCCAGTTCTAAGAACACTTGGCAGTTAGTGGGCTGAAGCTTCAGAAAACATACTCTGTGTTTGAGAGAAGAAGAATATGTTTTTCAAGAAGTGTCTGTATTGCTCTTGTTCTCACACTTTAGGCATCACTGTATGTACTAAAAAGAAAGAAACTGGCCAATCATAATCACTGGTTTCAAATAAAAGAAGTTTCTACCCCATTCTCTTGTAAAATGGGACATTGGAAACTTGCTATGTTATGTCAAAAGGTCCACTGATGAGTTTTAAGCTTTTCTTATTTCGTGACAAACTCACAAACAGACCCCTGATTCTCCAACATCTAAGGTGTTAGTGTTTCCGTAATCTATGCCTATTTACCTGCTGCTATTCCCTCAGAAGGGGAGCAATAATTCAAGATGAAATACAGCATGTATTACTCTTGAAAAGAGGAATTTTCTATCCTTTCCTCCGTAATTGAGGTCATTCAACCACTAGGGTTCACCTGGAGTCCATACCGTGATACACGCCTCACTCCAAGCCATTTTATCTTTTGTGCTGATAGTCCAGATCGCAGCTCTAACATTGACATCAAACTCTGTCTGGGCAGATGACTAAGAGTGCTGCACAATGTAAACTTTTGACCCTCAACTTTTTGACCTGCAGTTGCAACGCACTAACCACAAAGATACACAAAGCTGTGCCTCTTCTTTCAGGGGAAAGGGGCCCCCCAGGATCTCAGGGAAGCCCTGCTTCTGCCACTGCCTTTTGGAATGAGAGGGTGAATTGGATATTTGTGTGTGGTAGCGACTGTCTTTCCAGGCAAGTCAGCCTCCAACCTCTTTTTATCAGCCTTAGATTAGGACTGAGATTATTTTGAAGTCACTAGATTTCAATGTAATCATTATATTTGCAAGGAAAACTTGGAGTAGGATGGGAAAACCTCATGAAAAGTGCAAAAAAGGAGAAGATGGGGAGAAACAGACAATGGGAATTAGAGACATATTTTTTTTCTTTATTTAAAAATAAAGACGCAGCCCTAATTGTTGGGTGATCTGGCCCAGGCAGGCGAGTTGACTGTGAACTTGTACTAAAGCGTGCTCTGCTGGCGATTCCTAGGGTGTGCAGATTTATCTTCTCTGCATTTACTTAACCCGGCAGTGAACTGCGCGGGCGTCATTTGTTAGGCGATGACAGACTTCACCTCCAGCAAGGGCTGCTTCACAAAATCGCAATAATTACCTAATAACCTTCATAACAAATATTATTATTGAAAAGATCAGTTGGGGGGGGGGTTACTGGTGAGAGAAGGACAGCTTTCTTTGTGATAAACCCCAAACAAAACAAGGCAAATCTTCCACTTCTGGAATTTGGAATGGTCAAGACTGTAGTTACCCTCTTCTACAGGGATGGGAGCTTAAGCTGACCTTTCAGCCCTATCCCGGAGCCCCATTTATAGTTTTGTCATGCACCAGTAAGAAATTCTACATTAGAAACGAATGGGATGGAGCCCACAACACCCTGCACTCTTCTGTGGCAGGAAAATCTCAGATTGGCTCCTGAGCTAAGGCAAAAGGTAGAAGGGAAGGACAGAATCCAAGGGCAACTTTTAAGCTAAAAGGATTGTTTTCATCTTTAACAGTACAACTTCTAGGGTGTAATTTGCTCCCCACCCCCTCACTAATTGTTTGGATATAATATTCTTCACATCTCAACAAATGAACATGACTCCATTTCTGGTGGAAAATTCTATCTTGTTCTCCCATAGCCACCAACAATGAAGCAGGGGAAAGAGCAGGAGAAAAGGAATCTTGGCATAATGTTGTGAAATTAGACCATGGAAACCCTAACAAACCCCTAAGTAAGTGTGACCAGAAGCTTCCTATTATATTTATAGTTCAGGAAATATTGTGTCCTTAACTTGTAGAAACAAACGAGGCCCTACACGTTTCGGACGCCTTCTCCTCTTACAAGACAAGGGGCACAAACAGACACTTCTGCCACCGGCTAAGGCTGGATGTCTTCATAAAGACGTCAATGGCTAAGGTTTTTTTTTGTTTTTGTTTTTTTTTAAAGTGAGCTCCTCTGCAAAAACAACCCAAAAGGATGCACGAAAAGAAATGACTTATCAATGAAATGAGAAAATAATCAGCTATTCTCTTTGTGCTTCCTCTGAAAACAGGGAGAAAGCAACCCTTCCAGTAATGCTCACATAGGTCTAACTGGATGCTCTATTTAACTCCAAGTGTGTTAACCTGCATTCTCATACTCTTAAGTTTGGTAAAGATAAAAATGGGAAGAAATAAGCAATTTATTTATAACTTGTAATGTTTTAATTCATGGACAGACTTCCTATATTATATGATATCAACAGCCCAGGTGGGATATAACCACAGAGGTGGTGTGGACACTTCCTCCAAACAAGTTATTCGAAGGTACCTGCCACTCTTTTTTTTTTCCCTGATACTAATGATAGTCACCAAGAATTTCTCAAGCAAGATCACCAAATAAGTGACTAAAATAGAACTGTAACCCAGTATTTCCCAATAAATAACCCAAAATACAGCAGCAATACAAGGACTCCACAATTCTCACACATATAAAATAATAAAAGAGAACTCAGATAAACTTTACATTCTGGCTTCCACTAAGATTTCAATACACCTTCCTCAGTGCTAAACTAGCCGTGCTCATTTTAATAGGTCACACAATGTGACTTGAGGGATTCACCTTTCCACTATCCATGAGAAATGGAACTGAGAAGGAGGGTTTGGTTTTTCAAAACAAAGCTTCAGGTTTGCTTTTTGGACTTTGGGGACATCTGATAGACTTCTGTGGAGTGTAAGTGGCTTCTGCAAAATGAAGTTTGTTGAAATTCCAAAACTATACTTTAATTTTTTTAACTTTAAGCACTTGATAAAGATCTTTCCCAATTTACACTTGCAGAAAAAAACTACCCAACTCCTAAGGAGAAAAGCATTTGGAGACAGAGGAGCCTGCTTTTTGTTTCATTTCTAAACTAAAGAATTTGGCTTAATTTTGCAGACTCGAGAGATCCCTCCTCAGGACCCATGCGGAGGAAGACCCCTACGACAGGCTAGAGCATCCCCAGTCTCGGCTTTGCCACTAAAGACCTGTGGGGTTGGGGCCAGAGTGATGGCTGGGGCCAAACTGGAATTATACCCAGGAAAATTTATTTTACCTTATTTCACCCATTAGTGCAATATTGGGAACTGTTTTGGAAATCATAGACTATGTAAATTTCCTGGGATCAAACAGAAAGAGCAGCTAACAAAAGAAAGGCGGAAATCTCCTACTGACAAACAACCAATTTCTTCCTTAAACTACCCTTTATGACGTGTCAGGAAAAACAAGCTAATGGCTGTAGGGACTTTTAACTTGGGCAGTGAAGACACCTCGATTTCCCCCCAAACTTTAGGGCACAGTTTGGAACAGGAATTTGTCTGTATGTTGTGGGGGAGGAAATTTCTCTAATCTTTACTGTTGTCTAGGGGCATAAGTTGTCTTTTGAGGGTTCTGTGCATAGATGCCTTACTTCTACAAAGGAGGGGAGGGAGGAAAAGTAAAGAAGAGAGGGAGAAGAAAGGCAAGGCGGAAGAAAAGAAAGCGCTTTAACTCCTTTCATTTAGCCTGGGGATTCAAAGACTAAAGTTAAATCCGGCCATAAAGTTTATTGCTTCAGACTCACAGGCGGGTGAGAACAGTCCCACCGAAATAAAAAGAACGTTCAGGCAAACAAGGTTCAGGGCCTGCTGCCTGGGGGGAGGGGGAGGGGATACTGAACCCTCTCCCAGGTGGGGACCCTAGGTCCCAGTGTCCCGTGGGCGCTAGTGGCCTGGGCTCAGCTCCCAACCCCAGGGGCCCAGTCTGGAGGTGCGGCCCGCGCCTCGCTGGTCTCTGCCACCCTCAGCCTCTCACGAGCCAGTCTGAAACCCGGCCGCGAAGGCCGCCGCCTCAATTCAGTCCTGCCAAATGACCCCAGCCCGCGAAGACATATTGCGACAGCCCCGTAAGGAATCCCGCCAGAGTCCGCCTCGGCCCTGCCCAGGCCTTTCTTTCAAACTCTCAAGCACTTCCAAGCGCACAACGCGGCCTCCGCGCCCCGCGACCGGCGCCCCACTGTCTCCCAACCCCCACCCTAGGGCTCCAAGACCCCCAAGAGCCAAGAGCAGTCAGCTCCGGTATAGGGGGCTCTGCCAAGTCTCCATACACAGGCCTATTCGCGCACAAAAATCATCTTTTTGCAAGTCGGCGAAAGCAGCGGAAGTCATTAACATCCGCGGTTGGGCAGCAATTAAAGTTAGGCCTGGGGATGCGGCCGGCCACAGGCGCTTTTCACCCAGTGTCTCCGCAAAGCTGGCTCCTGGCGCTTCTAATTTGGGCAAGGGAAAAGTTTGCTTTCCCATTTGTATTCAGAGACAACCTCAGAGTGAGAGAGAGAGAAGGAGAGATAGAGACAGACACAGAGAGAGACAGACAGACAGACAGAGAAAGAGAGAGAGGGAGAGAGAGGGAGAGAAAGGGAGAGAGAGAGAGAGGGGAGAGAGAGAGTGAGAGAGAGAGAGAGAGAGAGAGAGAGAGAGAGAGAGAGAGAGAGAGACCTTGAGGAAAAAAAGTTTTCAGAGTACAAATAAACTCAAAAGCACTCAGGAGCTTACCTTAACTTGAAGGGAGCCATTTTTCAGAGTTTTGAGAACTTGTGGTTTGGACACTTCTGGACCTAAAATTGACAATTTGAATGACCAGGCGGCACACGTAGCCTGCAAAAGAGTCAAATGGAGTCCAGCGTCAGTGAGATTATATGTTATGTGGTATATAATGTTGGATGTCAACTCCCCAAAACCATAAAACTTACTTTAATGGCCCCACGTGACGTTTTATAGCCAGTGAGCCGATCTGTCTGTGCTATGGATGATTTTACGATCTAATTCATAGACAAAACCCTATTCATTTGGCACCCAAATGTCATATAGCCGGAACTGGGGCTTATAAAGTTTACTGTTTTATAACTTTTAAAAGGAAAGACGGCATCAGTGTAAGCAGTCGGTAAATGTGCAAATCTCTAGTTGCGCTTAGCCGCTCTGAGGAGTTTCCCAATCAAGCTAGGATGGGGTAAGTACCTTCCATTTGTAGCTAATTAATTGTAGCAAAAGAAGCCAACTGGGTTCAGGGTGAGGAGTGGGAAGGGGTGCCTGGGTGGGTTAGGGACAGGGGGTTTGGGGGCCACAATTTGGCCCCCCAGGCTCTTTAGCAAATGGAGGCCTAGAATGCCTAGGAAACAGGCAGCATCTGTGTGGGCCCTCAGGGCTGCTAACAAAGCCTTGGGTTTTTTCTCCTTTCTCTCTCTTTCTTTTTTTTTTTTTGTACCCAGCAACTTAAGTTGGTTCCTCAGAGATGGGCAAGTTGGACTCAGGCTTTGGAATCACCTACAGCTTTTCTAGCTTTTGTCCTGAACTTTCTGATGGGTCAGAGTTATGGAGGCCGAGGGTCAGGTCTTGGCACTGGGAGGCTGGGAAGCTGCACTGGGAGGCTGCTCAGGTAGCCTCAGACACACAACCTTCCAGGACTCCACAGAGAGAAGAGCAGAAAGGGGAGCTCGCTCTTTGGCACAAACCAGACCAAGAGAACTTACAATAGAAAGTTTATTTTTTTGTTTCCAGTCAGTATTTTTTTTTCCTTAAAAACAAATACAAAAAAAAAAAAAAAAGCTGATCACAGTTTGCTTAAACAGCCAGACTTGGACAATATTTGTAACTTTGTTCACAAAAACATACATCACTGAAGCTGCGCTTATAAGAGCCACTTCCAGAGTTCGTGCAAAGGGTCCTACAAAGGCACGCAGGGACACACCGCTCAGAGTCACAGTTTTCGTCACAGAGTCACTAGTCACTACACGTCAAACAAGTTAAGTTGTGTCTCATCAAGTCACCTCTACAACAGCATTAGTTACACAAGGAATATAGGTAGTGTGAATAAAAATATCTTTAACAGCTTGGAGCTATTGAGACAGGAACACTTCCACTCACATGCACAGTTAAACAACTGGAGTGCAACACACAACATTGGCACTAAACGAGGTCGAAGGGGGACTTTTTTGTGTGTTTTTTTTCTCTTCTTTTTTGTTATAGTTACTTCAAGTAACACAGCTTGCTTCATATAAATAAGTTAAAACATCTATTTTTTTTTTCAAGACAAAGCCATTCAGGACAAAGAGATGAACAGAAAGCAGATCTACTTATACAGGCGCTATAATGGCAATAAACAGGCTCATGATTAAAAGATGAATTAGGGCAACGAGAACAGAGCTTCTTCACAGAAGGAACACAGGGGAGTTTCAGAAAGTCACCTTAGTACTGACACTACGCGGGATCCGCTAATACTGCTCAGTACTTTAAACGCTCAAATACTCAGGGGCGGAAGGCCCCTCCCGCCGCTGCCATGCTCATGCTTTTCAGCTTATTATCTTTTTTCCACTTCATTCTCCGGTTTTGGAACCAGATTTTAATTTGTCTCTCGGAGAGGCAAAGAGCATGTGCTATTTCAATCCTTCTTCGGCGGGTCAGGTAGCGGTTGAAGTGGAACTCCTTCTCCAGTTCCAGTGTCTGGTAACGTGTGTAGGCCGTCCGGGCCCTTTTGCCTTCCGGGCCGCCTATGTTGTCTGCAATAGAAAAAGCGGTTTAGCCACCAACTCCTCAGCCCCTGACTATGAAAGTTCGCCAGCTGGATGAGCCAGGGTCCGGAGCAGGGAATAGGGGAGAGAAACTCAACAAGTCCTTCCTCGTTGCCCGCCCACCCCTCCCGAATTTCCTTCCCTCTTCCTTTCTAGAGAGAAAACAATACGATTTGGACTCTGGAAACAATCGGCCCCGTCTGAGGCTGGAGCCTGTCCGGAGGATCGCTCGATTCTCCCTCGGCCCTCTCCTGCCCTCTGGTCCTGCCCCTAGCGCTCCGTGCCAGAGAACACAGCTCTCCCAGGCTGCCCACCGCTCAGAAACCTACCAAAGTAAGGCCCTTTTCTGAGCGCCCAAGTGGCCTCCAGGACACCCTCCCCTAAAGTTCCAGTCCCAGGAGCCGCCTCCTGTTCCAGGCTGCACGCTTGAGGCTCCTGCTTTCTTTTGCTTACCTTTCCTTCTCTGCTCTCCCTCCTGCCCCCAACTTCAGAACCCAGCCACCTCTCGTCTGGATTATTCCCCCCAAGCCCCTTTTCGGGGACTCCAATTAGTAACGCTGTTTCCCCAGCGCAGACCTCCTCATAAATTATCCGCCCTGACAAGCCCGATTCACGGCCTCTACTGCCATCCTCTACCTCTGCGCCCTGCTCTTCTGGTCTGACCCGCGAGCGCGTTCCAAGGCGCTGGGGCTCAATATGGTTTTTTTCCTTTCCCCCTCTTTCAACGTCTAAACTTGCCTGGCCAGCGGCTGTCCCCCTCCTCCCTCCCCTCCATTTGCGAGCACTGGGTGCTGCAGAGAAGAGCAGGAGGAAAGAGGAAGGCGGGGGAAGGAGAACCGCGGGGAGAGGCTCCACAGGGCTGGGAGAGGCAAGACCAGGAGAGAGACGGGGAGAGAAGGCGGTAAAGGAGAGGGGACCGAAAGCCGCGTCCCCGTGGCCGCGTGGATTTAGAAAAAGGCTGGCTTTACCATGACTTATGTGCAGCTTGCGCATCCAGGGGTAGATCTGGGGTTGGGCGGGCGGCGCCGGGCTCGGCTCGCTCTGCGCGCTCGCCTGCTCGCTGCTGGCGGGGGCGTCCTCCTCGGCTCCGGACGCCGTGCCAACCCCCTCTCTGCTGCTGATGTGGGTGCTGCTGGCGTTGGCCGAGGCGCCGCTGGAGTTGCCCAGGGAGTTTTTCCCGCCGTGGTGGCTGTCGCTGCCGGGCGAGGGGGCCACAGCGGAGCAGGGCAGCGGGTCGGGCGGAGGCGAGTGCGTGGACGTGGCCGGCTGGCTGTACCTGGGCTCGGCGGGCGCCGCGCTGGCGCCGGCCGCGTAGCTGCGGGCGCGCTCCCCGGAGCCAAAGTGGCCGGAACCCGAGCGGCCGACGCTGAGATCCATGCCATTGTAGCCGTAGCCGTACCTGCCGGAGTGCATGCTCGCCGAGTCCCTGAATTGCTCGCTCACGGAACTATGATCTCCATAATTATGCAACTGGTAGTCCGGGCCATTTGGATAGCGACCGCAAAATGAGTTTACAAAATAAGAGCTCATTTGTTTTTTGATATGTGTGCTTGATTTGTGGCTCGCGGTCGTTTGTGCGTCTATAGCACCCTTGCACAATTTATGATGAATTATGGAAATGACTGGGACATGTACTTGGTTCCCTCCTACGTAGGCACCCAAATATGGGGTACGACTTCGAATCACGTGCTTTTGTTGTCCAGTCGTAAATCCTGCCTGATGACCTCTAGAGGTAAACTCGTGCACTAATGGGGGAGTTGGGTGGAGGCGAGAGGGGTGGAGCGCGCGCCCCAGGCGCGTGCCCGCCGTCCGCCGCCGCCGTTCAGTCGGACTCGAGCGCCACCCACTGGAGGCAGGGCGCATCGCTCCGCTTCCGACCCTGGGCTGCAAGGGCCGGGGTCGAATTGAGGTTACAGCCCATTATGGCAAAATTATTGCATTTCCCTCGCAGTTCCATTAGGATGTACCAATTGTGAGGCCGTCAGCTGCCGATCGCGCGCCGGGCGAGGATGCAGAAGACTGGGGGGAGATGGTGACTTGGCTTTTATTTACAACAACTTTATTTCCCCGTTGTGCAGCCCCTCTTATTTTTGTGTTGAGATTGGGGTCGGTTCTGCCCATCCTGACGCCAGCTTTGATATTTGAAAATACAGATATCACCTTCGGGGAAGGGGGGGAGGCCATTTAGTCAATTGGAGAAATAAATCCTGCCCGCAGCAGCAGCTACAATTACGGCTCTGTTTTTGCGAGCGCATGAGGGACAGTGTCCCTGCCGCTTTTAAATGACAGGCGTCTATTAAAGATAGCTTTTGTGTAGTGTTTCTCCTAGGCGAGGTCAAATTCCATACACTTTTATAACCAGAGTCGATTTTTCTTTCGTGGAAATAAGGTTTTCGTGTCATTGGTTTGTTATTTGATTTACTTTAAGAATTCAGCTTGGAGAATCTTCACCTCTGGGTTCCTTTCCTCGAGTCAGCCGGCCCTCAATTCTCAGAGCTTTTGGTGAACCCAATGAGAGGGATCAGTCTCCCGGCAACCACAGAAACTGCTTGAGGGCTGGGGATCCGTGGGCCAAGTTATTGGGGTCTTGCTTAAAGCTTCTGGAGTAAAATGAGGGTGCAAATGAAAATATTTCGTGGCAGTGCATACTACATCCGTATTTATTTTCCTCCCTTCTGAAAGACGAAAGTAAAGCACAATTATAGCTGAAAGACAAGGGGGGGCTCCTCTGTCTCCACAGGGCATAGCACTCGCCCCTGGCACGTTTGTAAGCCTGGACCTTTGCCGCTCCCATGGCCCTTGGCCTCCTCCTTAGGTCCTGAAAGCTGCTGTGGTGGCAGAGACCTTAATGTCAGAGGCGGGAGCTGGACTCCGGAGTTCGGAGCCTTCAGGAACCCAGTCATTCCTGGGGCTGTTGATTTCCACCCATACCCACGTTGGCTCAGCCCGACTGAGGCTTCTCTTCCACTGATGGTTGTGCGCGGCGAAAGACTAGGCTCTCTCGGGGAGCCCCTTTGTTCTTCGAGCTTCTTTCCTGTCTGGGGGCGGCCTGAAAGGCCATCACAGAGCTGGAGCCCCAGCCTTTAGGCC